AACCCGAGGGCGGGTAACCGGAGTAAGATTAACCTGAGGGCGGGTAACCGGAGTAAGATTAACCCGAGGACAGGTAACCGGAATGAAGTTGAACCCGAGGGCGGGTAACCGGAATAACATTAACCTAGCGTCCCAACGACGACGGCTCCTACAACTCAAAATCTTAGCTCAGCTCAGGTGTGTGCACGTTGTGTGATAAATCAAGCGCAGCTGACAGGAATCGTGCTCAGGGATTCATCCACATCAGTAAGAGTGTAAATGAATACAGACAAAAGAACTCGCCATCAAAAAGAGAATGAGAGAGAGACAGTGACAGGAGAGAGCAGGGGTCAGTTAAAGTGTAGTTTAACTAAGGTTTAGGTGAACAGATAACAGCTTAGTTTGTACTGACACCTGCTGAGACTGAAGGCTGCATGGTGCTCTCAGGGACACAGAAAGATCTGATACTGGCTAGAAATAAAATAAGAACTGTTTAGTACACTCACAACGAAAGAAAACGAACACATGTAAACTCCGCGTCAGGGAAGGTAAACCTTCACTACAAGCACACCTGAAGGAAGCCCAGGTGGGTCAGGAGGACCGTGGTAACGGATGGTTGCACTCATTACAGTCACTCTGTGCAGGTAGGAGGCTTCACGATCCTGCAGGTGGGCGTCAGCAGCATGCAGTGAAGTGAACCTGCAGATGTGACGAATGCCTGTTGGATGAAGGCACCACCCTGGAACATGAGCGGGGAACAGGGCAGACCCAGAGGGACACATCCCAGCTGCAACACAGCAGGACTCGTGTTACGGGAACACGCTGCATGCTGGTGGAGACGATGCCGACTCTGATCATCCTCACGACCGAATACAAACTGATCTTTATTGTTTCTGCACACATCCCGAAACATTTTCATTAACTTTGAGTGTAATAAGCTTTGTTGGCCGCGGGCCGGCCCTGTTGTTCCATCTCCACCCGTTTTGTTTCTCCACCCACCGTGCTGCTCGCCTGGTCCTGTGCCACGAACACTATGCAGCCTGGGATCCGTGTGACATCACAGGAACTGCTCAGTCGTGTGAACTCATCACCTGTCCACGCTCACCTTGTGCTTGCTGTGACAGCCTAATAACCAGACCCATCAGCTGGAGCCGTCCAATCAGACAGCCTGAGCTCAGGTGTTCACACCTGCAGAGCACAGACAGCAGACGCTGACGTCCCGCCAGCATCAGCGGGTGAAGTCTTTAAATCTATCAGCACGCCGTGGCGTGAATCGTGCAGTTACTGTGGAGATGCTGTGCGTCCTCACACACACGGCTATTACAGGTGTACACTCACCTGTGCTTCAATCCACCTGCAGGCACAGGTGAAGCTGCCTGTACAGCATGTGGATGTCAGCACCTCCTGTGGCCCCTGAGGTTAAAGGTCAACGCACGCACACTCTACTAAAAACTCAACTTCAGATTCAAAAAGCAGAAAACAGGATTTTATTTCAAACGTCACACAAACTGAAACACTTCAAATAAAACATGTTCGTCCATAAACCGCCATCATCATCATCACCAGCTCAGCGAAACAGCGTGAGGCGGCCCGGTCAGCTGACTCCCATCGATCAGAGCGAGCTCACCCACACCTTCAAGCAGCGAGACGATCGTAGTGTTACCTCCTCGCCCAATCAGGGTGTACGTTACAGAGCAACGGCTTTTCAGGATCCAATCACAGACAGCTGTTCTCTGTCCAGTCAGAAAGGAGCAGCAGGTCAAAGGTCGGCGTCGGCCAGCTGATTCCAGCTGCTCTGTGATGGCAGCTTGATTTTCTAAACTGGAGCCAATCAGAAGAGACGATGATGCACGCTCCGCCCACAGGAAGAAACTTTTTTTTGAATGAGGCTGAAAATGTACAAGAAAAACTGAAAATAGTGTTTTCATAAAAACGAGTCAGGCTTGGAGCGGCGCCGGAGCACAATCCTCCAATCAGAGCGCATGTTGACCTCGTGGCGTCCTGCTGAACGCGAGCGCTTCCAGTTTCTCATCACGACCTTAAAGGTCACAAAGGTCACGTCAGGTCACCGTGACGCCGACACGCTGGAGACTGAGCCCCGCCTGTGCGTGGAGCTTACTGCAGAGATTTTATTGCAAAAGAGCTCCGCCCCTCCAGACGGTAACAACCTCGTCCAATCAGAGTGAGCGGCTCCGCGATACGACCTCACAGGAGAAAAAAAGTTAAACCAATCAAATCAGCAGTGATGCGTCAGCAGGACCTCTCAGCTCCTCAAACGCCACGTTTGCAGAGTCTGAAGCGCTGATGGTGACCTCTGACCCCTGAGATCCAAACAAGCCCCGGGACTCCGCAGGGTCAGCGCTGGCCGGTGTAGGTTCTGAGCCAGGAGCTGACGGAGGCGGCGGCGGACGAGATCATCCCTCCGGTGTTGGCGGCGGGCTGCGAGACCTGCAGGGCACTCTGGGAAAGATCCATGGACTGCAGGAGGACAGAGGAGGAAGAGAGGTTAGAGGTCACGAGGCGGAGCCCCGTAACTCCTCTGCACTGATGTCTGAGCTATGGAGGTCACAGTGACTCCTCCCCTCAGGCGCCCCCGCCCGCCGCTGCGTCCTTCACGAGCAGCTCGGTCCTCAGGTGTGTTTACCTGTGAGGGGATGTCACAGAACCGCGGGCTAGGCACCGTCTCCCAGTCCGTCCCCAGGTCCGTCTCGTCGTCCGTCACCGCTTCGTCTCCGCTCTCCTCCGCCGGCCCCTCCGCCTCCGGCTCCACGAACTCCATGGACTCCTCCAGGTCGGCGCACACCTCGAACGGACCCGTCCTGAAGCACACGGGTAAACATGGCGTCACCCTCAATCAGCAGATCGCACCCACCTTTTCCTGAAATCAGACACTTCACTCTCTCACCTGCCCAGGCTGTCGTTGTCAGGGGCAACCAGAAACACGATGTTCCTCAGGGTGTGATGGAGGTGGAGCTTCTCGCTGTCAACGTGCTGAACACAGAGAAACGAGGTGAGAGGCGGGAACACAGAGACGGATCAATCAATCAGAATCAGTCCTGCTGCCTCGACACAGAAGACGGACGAACGGCGTGCGAGTCTCACCTGAGAGAAGCACAGGTGGAGCACGTTGGTGTTCAGCTTGCTCAGAGCTCGGGTGAAGCGGTAGCGGCTCAGATTGTCTCCGCAGAACTCGCTGAGAAAACAAACAGCACAGAGCGAAGATTAAAGATGGACGCCGCGACATCGGCAAAATCGACCTACAGCTGAGCGGCGCCACTTTTCAAACGTTCCCACCTGTTGCAGAGCTTCTTGGGCAGGTTGACGTCCAGCATGTGGGACAGGATGGTGACGAGCTGCGTGGTGTAGCAGAGGGCGGCGCTGATGGTGTGAGCCGGGTTAATGTGGTCCAGCTCTGCGGCAAAAGGAGGTCAAAGGTCAGGGTCACCTGAAACCTTTTCAAACTAAAGTTTTCTGAGCACCCACATAAAAATACTCTTTATTAAAAAAATTAGAAGTAAATGAAGTATTTTATAATAATAATAATAATAATAATAATAATAATAATAA